TGCTCCCGCGCCTCGCTCAGCCAGTGAGCGGGAACTGGTCTGTATGTGGGATCCGAACCCTCGGGTGGGAGCGCCGCCGCGCTTCGCAAGCGGCGCACTATCCAGTGCGCCACCGGGCCGGCCCCCACAGCATTCTTTCAACTGAGAAAGTTCTTATTGATTTTTACCTGTCATATTTCAAGGTTTACTTAACTGCTTATCTTTCATGAACCTTAGACTAATTCCTACAGCTGACTTTGATCTCTTCCTCTTCTGAATTCCTATAACACATTGTGCCTCTAATTTCACTCATCCCATGCTATCTTGTATTATAATTATTACACAGTGTCCTTTCCCCTATACTAGACTATAATATCTTTTGGGGCTGGGCATTCAGTTTTATTCAATTTTATTCGCCTACCATGTAACATGGTAAGTACATACCCCATTTTATAAATGAAGAAACAGTCTCAGAGAGGGTAAGTAATCTTCCCAAGCATTATATCAAGAATTGAACCCAGATTTGTCTGACCCAGTAGGGTATTTTCTTTCCACTCAATTATGATGCTGCCTTCTGTTAACTTAATTTATGAGTAGTTACTTCTGAATACCATTATTAATCTAGGCATAGAATAGAAATAGAAACATGTTGGAGAAGTAATTACTGCTTATGAAAAGCTCTGTTTTGTAAATGTTTTCTTGAACTACAGATTAATGCAGGTATTAGACTTGCATACAGTGTGATCACTTTTTTTCTTTTCCTTGTGTTGTGGGATCTTGAGTTCCCTGTCTGTCTTACTAGTTAAATGTTCCCCTTCTGTTGAACTACAGATTAATGCAGGTATTAGACTTGCATACAGTGTGATCACTTTTTTTCTTTTCCTTGTGTTGTGGGATCTTGAGTTCCCTGTCTGTCTTACTAGTTAAATGTTCCCCTTCTGTGATTCCCAAAACATTCTTGCTGCCCCCAGGTGACAAGATGCAAAATAGCAGTAATAAACAATTTAGTCATTATTCACTAACAAATAGGAAAATACTGACTAAATAAAATAGAGTTTCTCATGTTAAATATTCTTTTACCTAACTAGTATCCGTATGTAACATCCATGAAGCAAAATGCCTGTTCATCAGCATTTAAACTCCTCTAAACTGTTGTTACAATGACATGCTGCATTTGTTAGCAATCTAAATATATCCCAATAGTATACTAAGTTCCAAAGAATCTTTATAAGGTAGCAGTTTCCTTGAAATCATAAAATCAAGTGGAATATTGAATTTTACTAATATTTTAGTGGAAGCTAAATTTCTATTTATTTATTTAGTGTACCAAATAAATAATTTCTATTATTATGTCTATTATATGGAAAAGAAGCTTGAGAATAATAATTGCCAGTTGAAATTACTTCAGCATACATATGGACCACCCATTCCACAATCTAGCCTATGTATTTTCATTGGAGGGGATACTGCCCCAAAGGAGTGAAAATTGGTTCTTGTGGAGTAAAAACATCTTAGATATCATAATACATAAACAGATATACAGTATATCTGTACTATTAAATCCTCTTGGTGAGGAGAGGTAATCAGGAAAAAAATGTTTTAAAAAGGCTATTTTAGGGAGGCAATAATGAAAAAAAGGTTGAGAAACACTGACTTAGTCTTTAGTATCCATTATCTTCTCAAGTCAACCATTATTTATATTATACTCCAGCAAACTATTTCAGTGGCCATTCTGGCCCTTCTTTCCTAGAATTGTCCCACTTACAATATAAATTAGTTTGTTAATTTCTGGACGCAGTTTCTTCTCAGCCCCTTTTTTCACTCACTCTCTCCTCTGACCTCATCCAAACCTTTGGACTACTGACATCTTTCTCTTAACTTTTTACTATTGCCTCCATCCTGTATTGCTTCCTTTTCTATCCAGCTTAGACCATGTTGCCATTCACTTCTTGATGTCCTACAATCCCTGACCCTTGTCTTTCTACCATATATATTCTACAAACTCCTAATCTTGGATGAATCTAGCGCTTTATTCTATATCCAGGCTACTGAACAGTGCTAGCAAAAAATCATGCAATTGTGTGGAATGGGCCACTGCTTGTGTTTCTAATTTTGTTTCCCTCCCTCATACCCCCACAGTAGTTCCCCCACCCACCCTTAACCTTGCTTCCTCCTTCTCCTAGAAAATTGATGTTAACAAATATAAGCTTTC